ATGCCTGAGATGCACTTCAAGGCCCCCAAGATCTCCATGCCTGATGTTGATTTCAATTTAAAGGGACCCAAAATCAAAGGAGATGTTGATGTTTCTGCCCCAAAGCTGGAGGGAGAGTTAAAAGGTCCAGAATTGGATGTCAAAGGTCCCAAATTAGATGTTGACACACCAGAGGTAGCCGTGGAAGGCCCAGATGGCAAATGGAAAACTCCTAAGTTCAAGATGCCAGACATGCACTTTAAAGCTCCCAAAATATCTATGCCAGACCTCGATCTACACTTAAAGGGCCCCAAGACAAAAGGAGAGGTGAATGTAGATGTTCCCAAATTGGAAGGGGATCTTAAAGGGCCACATGTGGATGTCAGTGGGCCAGATCTTGACATTGAGGGACCAGAGGGCAAATTGAAAGGTCCTAAGTTCAAGATGCCTGATATGCATTTCAAAGCCCCCAATATTTCTATGCCTGATGTTGACCTAAATCTCAAAGGACCCAAAATCAAAGGGGATGTAGATGTGTCTGTGCCTGAGGTAGAAGGTAAAATTGAAGTACCAGATGTGAACATCAAGGGCGCCAAACTCGATGTAAATGCCCCCGATGTCCAAGGCCCAGACTGGCACCTGAAGATGCCTAAGATGAAAATGCCCAAGTTCAGCATGCCTGGCTTCAAAGCAGAAGGCCCTGAAGTCGATGTCAACTTGCCCAAGGCTGACATGGATGTCTCAGGACCCAAGGTAGACATTGAAGGCCCTGATGTTAATATTGAAGGACCAGAGGGAAAGTTGAAAGGACCCAAGTTCAAGATGCCAGAGATGAACATCAAAGCCCCCAAGATCTCCATGCCTGACTTTGATTTGCATCTGAAAGGTCCCAAGGTGAAGGGTGATGTGGACGTTTCTCTGCCCAAAGTGGAAGGTGACCTCAAGGGTCCAGAAGTTGACATCAAGGGCCCCAAAGTGGAAATTGATGCCCCAGATGTGGGTGTTCAAGGCCCAGACTGGCACCTGAAGATGCCCAAGATGAAAATGCCTAAGTTCAGCATGCCTGGCTTCAAAGGAGAGGGCCCAGATGTGGATGTGAAGCTGCCCAAGGCTGACATTGACGTCTCAGGACCCAAGGTGGATATTGATGTTCCAGATGTGAATATCGAAGGTCCAGAGGGAAAGTTGAAAGGGCCTAAATTCAAGATGCCTGAGATGAACATCAAAGCCCCCAAGATCTCCATGCCTGACATTGACTTAAACCTGAAAGGTCCCAAAGTAAAGGGTGATATGGATGTTTCCCTTCCTAAAGTGGAAGGTGACCTCAAGGGCCCAGAAGTTGATATCAAGGGCCCAAAAGTGGACATTGATGCATCTGATGTGGATGTTCATGGCCCAGACTGGCACCTGAAGATGCCCAAGATAAAAATGCCCAAGATCAGCATGCCTGGCTTCAAAGGAGAAGGCCCAGATGTGGATGTGAACCTGCCCAAGGCTGACCTTAATGTCTCGGGACCCAAGGTGGATGTTGAATGTCCCGATGTGAACATCGAAGGACCTGAAGGAAAGTGGAAAAGTCCAAAGTTTAAGATGCCTGAAATGCATTTTAAGACTCCAAAGATATCCATGCCAGATATTGACCTGAATCTCACAGGTCCAAAAATAAAAGGAGATGTGGATGTTACAGGCCCTAAGGTAGAGGGAGATCTGAAAGGTCCTGAAATTGACCTCCAAGGCCCCAAAGTGGACATTGATGTCCCAGATGTTAATGTTCAGGGTCCAGACTGGCATCTGAAGATGCCCAAGATGAAAATGCCCAAGTTCAGCATGCCAGGCTTCAAAACAGAAGGCCCTGAAGTGGATGTGAAGCTGCCTAAGGCTGACATTGATGTCTCAGGACCCAAAGTGGACATTGAAGGCCCTGATGTTAACATTGAAGGACCAGAGGGAAAGTTGAAAGGGCCTAAGTTCAAGATGCCTGAGATGAACATCAAAGCCCCCAAGATCTCCATGCCTGACTTTGATTTGCATCTGAAAGGTCCCAAAGTGAAGGGCGATGTGGACGTTTCTCTGCCCAAAGTGGAAGGTGACCTCAAGGGCCCTGAAGTTGACATCAAAGGCCCCAAAATGGACATTGATGCCCCGGATGTGGATGTTCATGGCCCAGACTGGCACCTGAAGATGCCCAAGGTGAAAATGCCCAAGTTCGGTATGCCTGGCTTCAAAGGAGAGGGCCCAGATGTGGATGTGAACCTGCCCAAGGCTGACATTGATGTCTCAGGACCCAAGGTGGACATTGATGTTCCAGATGTGAATATCGAAGGTCCAGAGGGAAAGTTGAAAGGTCCCAAGTTCAAGATGCCAGATATGAACATCAAAGCCCCTAAGATCTCCATGCCTGACATTGATCTTAACCTGAAAGATCCCAAAGTGAAGGGTGATGTGGACGTGTCTCTGCCAAAAGTGGAAGGTGATGTGAAAGTTCCTGATGTGGATATTAAAGGCCCCAAAGTGGACATTAGTGCCCCAGATGTGGATGTTCAAGGCCCAGACTGGCACCTGAAGATGCCCAAGGTGAAAATGCCCAAGTTCAGCATGCCTGGCTTCAAAGGAGAGGGCCCAGATGTGGATGTGAACCTGCCCAAGGCTGACCTTGATGTCTCAGGACCCAAGGTGGACATTGATGTTCCGGATGTGAATATCGAAGGTCCAGATGCGAAACTGAAGGGCCCCAAGTTCAAGATGCCGGAGATGAACATCAAGGCTCCTAAAATATCAATGCCTGATTTAGACCTCAATCTCAAAGGCCCTAAAATGAAAGGAGAGGTGGATGTTTCACTTCCAAATGTAGAAGGTGATTTGAAAGGACCTGCTCTTGACATAAAAGGCCCGAAGATAGATGTAGATGCTCCAGATATTGACATTCATGGCCCTGATGGCAAATTAAAAGGTCCAAAACTGAAGATGCCTGACATGCATGTAAACATGCCCAAGATCTCCATGCCAGAAATTGACTTGAATTTGAAAGGTCCAAAACTTAAGGGAGATGTTGATGTCTCTGGGCCCAAATTGGAAGGTGACATTAAAGCTCCCAGTTTGGACATAAAGGGTCCAGAAGTGGACGTTTCTGGTCCTAAGCTTAATATTGATGGCAAGTCAAAGAAATCTCGTTTTAAGCTTCCCAAATTTAATTTTTCGGGCTCCAAAGTTCAGACACCTGAGGTGGATGTCAAAGGTAAAAAGCCAGATATTGACATAACAGGTCCAAAAGTTGATATTAATGCTCCTGATGTCGAGGTCCAAGGAAAAGTGAAAGGATCCAAGTTTAAAATGCCTTTCCTGAGTATTTCATCTCCCAAAGTATCTATGCCTGATGTGGAGCTAAATTTGAAAGGTCCCAAAGTCAAAGGAGACTTAGATGTGGCAGGTCCCAATCTAGAAGGTGACATTAAAGGTCCCAAAGTTGATGTTAAGGTGCCAGAAGTCAATCTTAATGCACCCGATGTGGATGTTCATGGTCCAGACTGGAATCTGAAGATGCCCAAGATGAAAATGCCCAAGTTCAGTGTGCCTGGCTTAAAAGCAGAAGGACCAGATGTAGCTGTGGATCTACCAAAAGGAGACATCAACATAGAGGGCCCAAGTATGAACATTGAGGGTCCAGAGCTCAATGTGGAAGGTCCAGAGGGAGGCTTGAAAGGTCCCAAATTCAAGATGCCTGACCTGAATATCAAAGCTCCCAAAATCTCCATGCCTGACCTTGACTTAAACTTGAAGGGCCCCAAGGTGAAAGGTGATGTGGATGTTTCTCTTCCCAAACTTGAAGGGGATCTGAAAGGGCCAGAGGTTGATATCAAAGGCCCTAAAGTGGATATCAATGCCCCAGATGTAGATGTTCACGGCCCAGACTGGCACCTGAAGATGCCCAAGGTGAAAATGCCCAAGTT